GTCCACCCAAGTCCCATAAGTCTGTGCTAGTGCTAAACGTCAGTGGCTTGCCATTGCTGAGTAAAATGAAAGATTCCCACCTACCTCATCATTGCAAACCCGCTGTGATGGCCTCTAAAGTAAAACTTTGTCTTCATACCAGCATGGACGCCTGCTACGATGTGAATAGACTTCGCAAGCCGGTGGAAAACTGCTCGAAGCAGATTTTAGAGCCAACATGCTAAGTGCACTGCCGTGTGTTTTCGGTTTTCCGAGTCCCTAGCCAATCCAGACATGTATTTCTGTGACAAGAACATGTGTGCGGCTGTCAGCACTGCTAACCTTGATATTGGTCAGGATCATCTTGATATCGATTGGCTCAGTTATCACACGATAGTATTCCGGATACTGGGAACGCGCTGGCAGCTTCATGAAAATGTCACACACGCTACGCCCATTGTCCTCCAGGCTCAACACCTCATCCATGATGGCTTGGCACACGTCTAGGAGTGATGCTGACGGACTTAGCAATGATACGTGATCCTGAATATGAACAATCAGGCAAGAGAGGTACAAGTCAATGGGTGCACACGGGCAGGTACATCTCTTTCCAAAAGAACACTGTGCAGTACACTACATGAGCAAGCAACAGTCCCACTATAATACACAACGGGTAACCAGGAAATAAGCAGCACGTGTGCATAGCTAATCGGTATACATATACTTCGCTATGGGCAGAGTGGATCCAGAAGTCGTTATTTGTTGTCATTAGTTGACTTCTGACTGTTCTGAGTACTGAGCCATGACACTAGAGCACCAAATAAACACTGTCGGTGGCAGATATGACCAGAGTGCTATCATCATACCTGTCATACACCACCTGTTTATTCATAATTGCTACTATCCTGCCATACACCTTAGCTAGCACTACACAATCGACATTACATACATGCATCCACACAACACAGGGTTATCTAGTGCAACCATACAACACAAGATAGACTACTGCCAAACAGCCAATATACAACTGCCCGCTGAACCTATTCCGAGGACTGACCTTCTGCTGGGGACCCTTCAAAGCAACTGGCGCGAGCCGCTTTGCACTCGGAGTCCCGGCAAGGAGCGGACTGTTGCTGCTGCTGCTCTCTGCTCTTGATGCCGCCACTGCTGCTTGCCGGGCACTGAGCGGTGTTGCGGCTTTGGCACTGATCGGTGTTGCGGCTTTGGCAGATGCAGTGGCGGAAGCCTTTGCTCCAGCTGATCCAGGCACAGGCGACTTCAAAAGAAAAGATCCTACCAAAGAGGAAGACGGCACATGCAAAACCAAAGCAGACACCCGTTGAGAACGCGTCAACAGACAAAGGACCCCGTCACGGCGTCAGCAGCCAGATGGGCAGCCAGCCCCAATCAAGCTCAAAGCATCGCACTAAGAAGCACATGCACTAAACAGCAAACAAGATCAATGCCACAACCAGCAGTACTGTAGATTACAACAAGACTAGCGGTTACACAAGATGCACAGTTGGCACTGCGGGCATGAGCAAGAAAATAGCAAGTAATACTGAGAAGAAGGACACACTTCAGGCTCATCAACAAAATCTTGAAAGTTTTCACTACTATACTTTCAAGCCTTATCGTCACATGGAATACAGGAAACTCAAACAAGGAACAAGGACATTGGATCAAGTACAGGAGAGAGGTGACAGAAACAGCGCAAGGAAGAAGAGCTAAAATATCAACGAAGAATGCGTGACCCACACATATAGAAAGAAATGAGGAAAAGGTGCAAGTGTGAGGAGACCTGACAAGCGTGAAGTGTGGTGCGACAAAACTAGACAACAAATGGACGTAACTAGCGAGTTGTTGACGACCTACCTAACAGCCTACGTGTGAATTTGATCTGCTTCTGATTACTAAGTTAGGTTTCTCAGTGTGAATTTACACAGCTTCTAAAACATTCAACAACTTCGCACACGTACACGTGACAAATGGAAAAACAATCATCTGAATACACCGCACGACATTCAAGATAAACCCCCTTTTATTGACATTCAAGATGCTCCAACAAATAGAGTAGCAAGTGCATGTAGTATTGCAGTGTGCTAGGTTGCACAATGTACATTGTACCAAGAGTACATAACCCCCCCCCCAGAGTGTGCAACGCCTGATCCAGCTCTGCATAGGGTCTTGGTCGAGCGGAATCGGATCTTTGTGTCATAATACCGTACACATCTGAGAGGAACCCGGGGAGTCGCGGGTACTCTCGGATCAAAAACAACGCTGCCCTGCCTCGAGACCGGCCTTGCGCTGGTGTGGAGTGTACGCATGACATCAGAAGATCCGATTCCGCTCGACCAAGACCCTATGCAGAGCTGGATCAGCGTTGCACACTCTGGGGGGTTATGTACTCTTGCTTGTACTTACCACCACTGGGTGGTGCACCTCCGCCAGGAAACAACCGCTGACACGTCGACCAGAACAGATCCAATAGAGTATCCGAGTCCTTGTACTCCTGACTATCCGTCTACAAGATACCGGACACCAGGGGGAAAACCAAGAAGATCGCGCACAATGCTATGCAACTATTGAGTACAGCAGGGGCAGCAGTGGTAGCAGCGGCAGTGCGTGTAACATGACATGGGTTGACAGCAGCACCAATATCAAACTCGATTTCTTAACAGAGAATGAAAAGAACACCCATGCATGGACTCATGCGAACACACAACAACAACACACACACACACACACACAAGGACATGCCTAGGCACATGCAGACAGACAAACAGACACACATGCACCCCCCCCCCTCCTCTACACACACACACACACACACACACACACACACACACACACACACACACACACACACACATGCACACACACACACACACACACACACACATACACACACACACACATGCACACACACATGCACACACACACACACACACACACACACACATCTCCACTCGAGAAAACTGTACCGGATAGAACAGCTGGGCATTGGAGAGGAGCAGTTGGATGTCTGATGTAAACATGTCAAGAGTCCTGTACTCATCGGTCTTCAACCGTTGCTAAACAGAGAACAAAACAATAAAAAAAACTTGTAATGTCACTACCGGATTTCCTGAATACAAATTGCACCTTGTAATGCCCAAAACTTTCCCTGACTACGTAAAACCTGCTTGAATACATGTAGCTAAAAACTCCCATATTAAATAAATGTTGATTTTCTGGCCACCAACTTAAAAAACCAAGTGTAACAAAGTGCTGCATTAGCTGTTTCTGTTCATCTCCTCTACTTCTCCTTATCCATGCACACACTTCAGCCATATGATCACCACATGTGCACAGCTCATGGTGAATGCAAATTTAAAATCACGTGTTTGTACGTGCTACTTTGCTGTGGCTGCTCCAACAGCAAAGAAGTGCTGCACGCCAAGCGGGCTGCTTTACTTCGACAGTGCAAGTCTCATTGACCCTTATCCCCCTCCCGTCAACTTATATTGTTTATTACATGTATCTGCAACACTCCCACCACCACCACCATGCTAAAAAAACCACTCCGATGAAACTATCACCACAGACCAGGTTCCTCTGAAGACCAAAAGTGCCCCTAAAAAATAAGGTCCCCCCTCCCCTCGAAAATCTGTTAGGCTATACCCTTTAAAATAGGGCTGAAACGATCGTGGATTTTCACCTATCGATTACCCTTTAGCTTAACGATCGATTAATCGATTATAATCGTTAGCAAACAGTGTCAGAATTTTGTGCAAAAATACTCTGTTTCCAAAAGCTAGGCCTTCATAATACCAAAATTTTGCATTAGTGACAGGGTAGGTCAGAACCATAGCAGTTATAAAGTCAATTTACCCTCAGACTATACACCATGCCCCTGGCAACTGCATACTCACAGTGGAAACTGATTCAAACTTCACAAAAACGAGGGCTTTCAGTACTTTTCGGACTCAAAATCCCTAACGAGTAATCTTTAACGTAACGATTACTTGATTGATCAGGAATTATCGATCGCTTACCGAGTAATTGGTATAATCGTTTCAGCTCTACTTTAAAAGTAACATTTCTTGCAGTTATGGAAAGGGCACGTACCTGTATCTTGAGTAAGTCAATGGGTTGCTGTACTTTGTCATAGTACTCTGGAAGATTCCTGCAAGAAACACAGCATTATCATCAGACTTGTCACCAGCATGGACAGCACATTGTACCTTGCCCAGACGCTTACAATGTAGTCAGCATGTTCAAGGACTCCACCAAACTACTAAAACAACGTCTAAGAATTCGCACACTCCAATGCAGCCATTTACACATTGCTCAGTCTCAATACTCATTCCAAATTCTCGAGGATGGGCCGTGCCAGAATATAAGGTGAAGATAGAGACGTCTGCAGCACCGTGACCATTTAGTACGAGTGTTGGGATCGAGTAATACAAAATTGCATTAGTATTCACATGTAGAACACCACCCTGGCCTGGCACCTTTCACAGTGGAAACTGACTGCCATTACATGTATATCCGGTGCAAAGACACAGGCGCATCTTACCTTCTCTTCGGCACCCGCACCAAATGCTCACACAGAAGGCGGCCATTGATGTCCTTGTAATGCCGTAGCGTCTCGTAGATATCATGAAACAGCTCCGACTGGATGGGCACAATAAAATCAAAAATGAGGATCAGTAGGTAGAAGTATGACTTTGTTCAAAGCAGTGGGTAAACATCAGTAGCAGTTGTCTCTCACTCTTGGCTCTAAGCAAAAGAAGAAAGAGCCGAGATATTATATCAAATAGGGCTCATTAGGACATGTGCCGATACATGTCCATGGATTGGCAGGTTAGCGTGACAAACTACATGAAGTTGTGCATGTGCTTGATTTTAGTACATGGTAATGGAAATCATACATCATCACCAAGTGTACACTCCATAGCCATACCATGCACTTACTTCAGTGCATAATGGGTGCCCTGCTTTTTTGGTGGACTATTTACAAGATGGCTGATGAAACAAGGTGGGGGACGCACCATTTATAGTGACCTCCGCCTCGCTACATAAGCTGTCTCGTAGTACATGTACTTCATCATGCATACACCAGCGTACATACATGTAGACGTACACGTACATGTACATGTATGAGTCTTTTTTAATTGTCGGATGATTGCTTTACTCTAGGCATTCTGCACAGTCTACAAATCAGAGTCAGTCTGTATGTCGTGAGTTTGTTCTGTCTTACCCGTATCTCATTGACAACATACTGAAAACTATTGTTTACCCATGTACATGCACTACCACTTGCATAGGACTTCTCGATTTCACTCTAACTTGCAAAAAGCCAGTTACAGGTGCAATGGCAAAAAGAAACATTCCGGCTCTATATCGCACTGCCAACTCTGTGATAAGCACGGTACTATGCCTCTATCTCTACATGTATAACATCACTAAACAAATCCCAGAGGTGTTTCGTAGTATGGGTGAGAATCGAAGATGTCTTATCAGAACACACAGTGCAAGCTGGCAGAGATGTCGGTGTTTGCTACAATTTGTTTGTCTCCTCCCACAAGAAAAAAAAACACTTTGCCTGTAACAAATAGCAGTCAAAGAAGTTGAAATACGTCAGAATCTTCGATCACCGGGTTGAGTGAACTCGACATGGACGAAGGGTCTACAATACAGTATAAGTATAAAGCTGATTCAAATAATAATTGATTGATTGAGCTGGCCGAACTTACGGGATCGACGCACTTTCTGCGCTTCGCAGGAGGTTCGATAACAACAGGCTCAGGCACAGATGCTGGAGCTTCTATGGAGCCGGGGGAATCGGGCTGCTTTCTTTTCCTGCCCATGGTCACGTTACAAAGCACATCCTAATAGTAATTCATTTCAAACAAGTCTTCACTGCTCACACGAATTCAAAATAATAATTTTGCGAATACATGTATTCGATATTCCGCGATCGACAAAAATAATCCCGTCCGAGCCGTGACGTCATGCTGTGCATCAAGGATCTAGCATTCTTGACAATCATTTTAAAAGTTTAAAATCAATTATTATTATTACTCTACTGTACTTGTTAAACTTTGACGACTACTCCTTGCATGCACACCATGGCATTGATGTATGTACCACTACCAGGTGCATGCTAGGCTGAGGCACCACCATTATTCATGCATGCAAGTAACTTAGTTAGTTTGCAGTCAGGACATGCTCCCAGAGAGAAAAGATACTTGGCCATCGCCAGTTGGTACAAACAACAGAACAGCAGCCCACACACTACAACTGTCTACAGTCGTATTAATTATTATTTTGAGGAAGGTTTTGTATTCACAATTCACATACTCCGAGAAGAAAACTAAAAAAAGTAATATGATAAAAAAGTCCAGACTAAGCACACAGCATAAAATACAACATTCTCCAACAATGACATCCAATGAACTAAGAACAACAAACAAGAGCGTAGCAGAGTGGGTGCGTGGAGGGAATCACACAAACCTGGTTGAAACAAACTCCCAAATCGGAGACAGACGTTATTACGTGAAGTGAACAAGGAACCGGTGACACCTGCTCACAAGACAACAGACGTCAGCAGAAAACTTGGACAAGAAAGGGGCCCCGGATACCGGATGTGAAGAAACCCAGCAAGGCCACATAAGCGACATATCTAATAAAAATCCAGCTCAAGACAAGAGACTGTTGAGTACTGTGTGCGTGTGAACGAGTACAGCAAACCCTCTAGCTTGATAAAAAAAGAAGAATAAATCACTGGTGATGTTACATTGTATGCAATATGATGATGCAGTACAGCTGTTGTTCAACACTCTGCTTCTCTGCTTCTCTGCTTCTCAGCTTCTCAGTAGAAGCTGAACATCGGTAAATCAACATCTGGACTTTCCAAGTATAACAGCAATTCAATTCTGAGCTGGACAATCTCACTCAGCAGCCACGGTACCGTGAGCATGGACACAGGCATATACACAGCACAGCAGAATAGCACAGCGCAAATAAACGAGGTATATAAACATGATACGGCAGAAAGCGACTCGACACACTACTATGGACAAGAGAGAGAGACAGTGGGGGGGGGGGGGTACTATGGACAAGAGAGAGAGAGAGAGAGAGACAGGGGGGGGGGGGGGGGTAGAGTAGGATAGGCATCTAAAAATATTCCAGAAAGTATTGTGTACGCACCACACGCACACACACACACACGCACGCACACACACACACACACACACACACACACACACACACACACACACACACACACACACACTCACACACACACTCACACAGCGTGTTTAGGAGGTGCTATTGGAACTGTCGGCAGGTGATGGTGAATTGGCAGCCGAGCCAGACGGCGTATAATAGCTATTGGTTGTCGAGGGTGGGACACTGTTAATCGGCGAGTAGGTGGGCATGCGACCAGACCGGTCATTGCCATTCAGCAAGGCAGCCGCAGCGGCAGCACCAGCAGCAGCACCGGCGGCAGCAGCTGCCGCTCCACCCGACGCGACTACAGGTACTGTCCGGCCACGCCGAGATCCTCTACCTCGGCCACCACCGCGGGGTCTGCCGCCAGGGGCGCGTGAAGCAGGAGACGCAGCCGGGGAGAAGCGAGCACGACCTTTTCCAACAGTGCTCGGCGAGCCCTCGCTACTGTTGGGAACACTCTTGTTAGTTGACTCCGTCACTGTCACAACAGGAGTTGTCGGGAAGTAATGTGAGGACGAAGATTTGTTGTTGGGCGTCCCTGGGAGAGCTGGGCTGTCACTGGCATGCGCTGGGCTTGTGGAGCCCGCACCACCATTGCCACCAGAGGATAGCGTTGCATCAAACTTCTTCTTCCCACTACTGGCACCTGCATCCGACTGCGTACATACAGATAAACAAAATAACATTGAGCTCAAGCCACAAGGCAACTCGTTAGCACATTTCACCTTTTTAAGAAAGCTCTAATCACCAGACCATTGAGTACGTACATGCACACACAAAATCCCACAGTTGGAGGTGAGTCCTGAACCTACCATGCATAAGCTTACAGAACCGGTGTGCACTTGTAGTGCACTGTCCATGCTTGCATAAGCATGCACAAGCATGTATGTGCTGCAATGAACTATTGTTGCAGTACTAGTATAGGTACAACACTTTTAAAAACAACTGCATCAATATAATACCTGGTAAGAACCTAGCAGTTTGGAATCACATACACACAACTGTACAGCTAAGCCGGCACAAGCGCACAGACTGACAATGGGATGGACATAGACTAAACACAGATGGTAACCAACAGATGTAAAGCTTACATTTTTCCGCTTGGTGCCCTTTGCCGTCTGACCAGCAGGGGCTGTGCCAGCATCAGCAGGCGTATCAGATAATGATTGTCTCTCTTTGACTGCAGAGTACAGTTACGATCACAGCAGAACATCAAAGAGAACATAAAAAAGACACCAATGGAACTCAGCTGCCTTCAGGTAGAATGGCAAAGCAAACATGGCAGACGCAATAAGTTCATTTTCAAGTTGATAACACACTCCAATGCGACCAGAAGCAAACACACAGCAACCTCAGACTTGGCGGTACATGAGAAGCGGCCGGAGTGCTTACAATTACGCTCCATTTCCTCGTTGTCCAGAAGGAGAGAAACAACTTCTGTCGGCTTGAGAACATCCGGCTTGAACTGGCCACCGCTGATCACCATACGATGGATCTGCAGAACGAGATGACATCGTCATGACACATGCATACACACATTATAATTTATAAAGCCATCGTGAGAGACACCAGCAACATCACACGTCTATGATACGCACTGAAAAAAGGGTAAAACAAGTGGAAGTAAAGTTGTTGCAGAGAGTAGAGTAAGATGGAAAACTCCCACAAGCATACCCAGTACATATACAAACAAGTACATGTGACATGTAGGGTGTACCACTGCTTGAACACTGCTCTATGCAGAAGTAGAGCTTTTTCACGCAGTAAAGAGAGATGAAGAGATGAAGTCCTGTTGAAACTCTGAGTTTCATGTCTACTCACGCTGCCTGATGATAGAGTTAAAGCAAATGGAAAACTAGGAATAGCAAGAGAACTTTCTCTCTCTCCATATTGTGCACAGTAGGCACGTGACTGTATGGTCTCAGGTTAGCGGATACAAGAATATATCGGCTGTAGCGATACATTTACCAGTTTCAAAATTTCTCAAACTGTTGACAATTTTAACATTCACTGTCCAGCTCCCAATCAGCAAATCTGCTGTAGCACAATGCACACAGATGAAGTTTCCTTAGCACACAGCTCCCCACTGGAGTTGACCCTAGTTTACTGAACCATCGGGCAGGCACTATTAGTACATACCTCACTCTTCTCCTTTGCACGTTCCAGGATGCGCTCCTCGACGGTGCCCTTGGTGATGAGCCGGTAGACAGTGACCTGCTTGGTCTGACCGAGACGATGCGCTCTGTCCATGGCTTGCTGGTCAACCGTCGGGTTCCAGTCGCTGTCGTAGAAGACGACGGTGTCTGCGGCCGTCAAGTTAATACCCAGGCCGCCAGCGCGTGTACTCAGCAGGAAGACGAAAATGTCGTCTCGTGCCTGGAAGTCAGCTACCATATCACGGCGGTCAGCAATCTTAGACGAGCCATCCAATCTCATGTACTTGTACTTGCGGTAGATGATGAACTCCTGAGTAAGCACAGGCACAGAATGTGTTAGAAGTTAGAACAATGAACTTTTAAAAGTGTAGCACACACATACGTACCATATGCAAGTAGCACACAATCATCATGACCGTACATACGCCTATTACCAGGAGTACTAGACACACCAGGCTATCACCAGGCTATCACTAGCGCAGTGCACAACTCTCTGTGGACAGCTGAACTGCACAGAGCCACAGGCAGGATAAGTGCAACTGTCGGCCATGACCCAGCCACAGTTTGCCCACGGCACCGTTATCCTAGGTAACACAAGCTTGGCCCAGCTTAGGTCAGTTAATCACCATCGCCCACATCCTCATCCTCATCCTCACCTCCAGCAGGTCTATCATTTTCGTCATCTGCGAGTAGATGAGCACTCGGTGACCGTCAATCTTCAACTGCTTCAGCAGCTTGTCTAGGACAGTCAGCTTGCCAGAGTCACAGATCATACGGTCCTTGTCTGTAGGCAGAACAGAGGCGAGCAAGAAACAAATCACTGTATGCCCGCAAAAGACGCAAATCAAACTGGTCCTGGTTCCTTTTCAACCAATGCACCACAATCTTGTATCTTGTATCTTGTACCATGCCGCTGAGCATAATGATTACTAGTAAGCTTACTCGGTATATGAATGTGTGACCACCCATTCTTGGGCTTGAGAGGGTGTAAGCCTTTGTCCAATGCTGCATTGCCTGACCAGCTTGCAGCTGCAAGCGGATCGCGCCCTCTGGCATCGTAATGCATGAGCATGTTGCGGCGCTCTGGCTCGCCACCTTCCACCACAACCTGCTGGCGATACGCCGCCTGTCGATGGTAGCAGTACGGCTGAACGGTTGACACAATCTATACGTAGCACACATACACACACACACACACACACGGAAACCAAATGAACCACTGAAGTCTCCAACACAGGGCAGCAACATAACACATTCTTTCAAGACGGACACAATAATGGCGTCCAAAACCGAGGTGGTTAGCACCCTCCTCTGCCAAGTCTCTGAAACTCAAATAGAACTTGGGTAGCAAGGAAACTGCCGGGGAAACAGAAAATGAACAAACTATGGCAGCAGAAGAAGCAGCAGCAGCAGCAGCAGCAACAACAACAAAAACGAATTATCTTATTGGCCATAGACCATCATGGGAATAAAAGATTTCAAACAACAACATACCTTGGGTGCAATGAAATGCAGAAATCGTGCCGCAGGCATTGCCACACATTGCCGTTCGACAACGCCCTCATCCTGCTGAGTATCACCATTCGGTGGCGTGGCCTGACCGTCAGTTTTCACCAACGATCGACTGCGAAGGGGGCGTATGTGCACAGTGGCATGGTGAAGAATGGGCGACGGATAGGAGGCAAATACGAGACTGCCCAGCACCGGACTGTTGCGAACTGCCTCTCGTGAACACACAAAGTGTGGTCGCACATTGAGAAGAGAACAGGATGACTCTCGTCCAGGGGAAGATGGTGCAATGCTCTCATCGTCAGAGCTGTACACGACCAAGTATTGTAAAGGCAAGCACATACACACACAATTACTACTGCACACCAAGCTCACAAGATTAGCGTGTCCAGTGAAGCTAGGAGCAACCAGAAGACAATGACATGTTACCAGTACTAATTGTGCCAGAATATTTGCTCAAGAGTTGTACTTGAACTTCCTGTTGGCTAATGGACACAGAACCACCAACCAGTTCACCAGCAAGTGTTTTCTGTCATTGGTACAGAGGCAACCATTTCCCTGCAAAGCACATGGGCCGTGTGTTGCAAAGATCAGCAGGGATGTACACCAAACCCTAACCTTGCCAAACATTGGTGTGAGAATGTGGAAAGGTGGTGCGAGAATGAGTGACTTCAATTCTCAAGTATAAAATACTAGTAGAAAAAGATGTTTTGGAAAACTCAAGGCCAAAAAGGAGCCAATTTAATATATTTGAATGGTGGGTCTGATCTACCCACCTCCCACTACCTAGGAGCTGCATCTGTGCCTTGATCCTAGAGGTTGGTGGCGTTCCCGCGGATGCGGAAAACTCAGCCTCCAAGTCTCACATGAACCGTGATTTTTTTTTACCAAAAACCACTAAAAACCACCCCCCAAAATGTCTGTCAGAAGCCAACAAATGCTACAAAGTTGGGGCGAACCCTAACCCTGGCCCTAGCTTGGAACTGTTTCCAAACTTGCTCAATCTCAACTGCATAACATTACTCCACCACACAACCTCTAACCAACCTGTCGGCAACTTCAAATGTCCGCCGGTGGAACTGAAGTGAATCCAGTCTCCGCTGCTCGGCCCACTGCAACATTCTGCAGGTGAAACACCACACAACAGCAGCTCAGAAATCAACATTAAAAATATCAAAATGAACACACAAACACACACACACACGTCACAAAGAGGAGGAGAGAAACAGGTGACAAAGATTGAAAGGGGGAGAGCAAGAGTAGGGAGGAAAGAAAAAAATGAGAGAAAAACTGGAGGGACTACCAGAGTCCATGGATCATATTTACCAGGCATTTTTTGCAAGATACATGTAACGGAATGCAACACAGTCAAAACACGGGTACAATTACATTACCTTGTGTTGAAATCACCCAGCAACAGTCTACTGCATACACTTGGTGTTTCACGCAGCAAAGACAGTGAACCCAGTAGGTCACATGCCTCATTGGAACCACGTTGCGTATTGCCCAGTGAGCTGTCGCCATGGCTACGCGATGCCATCATGGTGGCCCGGTGCAGACAATCCGGCTTCAGGAGACTGTGCCGTTCAAGACACCTGCGCAAATAAGCATGGCATACCAGAGAAAGCACAATACGGATTATATTGAGCTGAGGCAGAGTCCTGGACACAAAACAGCAGCTAAAGCAACACCGTACCAGTAACCACAATCCTAATCAAGCTGGGTATAGCCATCATTATTCCAGCAACAACAGAGGCCCCAGCAGCACCAGCAGCAGCACAAACGGCCGTTGAGGCAACGCACCGTGACGCAATCTTACCTGGATTTCTCAGTTGTGGAGAAACCGGACAGAAGGCCTGAACAATCACACAACAGAACAGCATCACATGCAACCAGGTTAGAAGAAGCAATTCATGCACATGTACATGCACATGGCTAAAGGTAACACGTGAGGAATGGCACAAACCCAAGACTTGATGTGAACATCAAAAGCCAACATAAATCAAGAACAATATTGACGACGACGACAACGACGACAACAACGACCACAACAACGACCACAACAACAACAACAACAACTGCCGTCTAGGCAAAGAGTAGGATAATAGATGGGGCGGAAAACGTACCCTCCTCAAACAACAATCTAGGTATTCTGAGGTCGGCAACAGAGGTGGAAAGAGGAGACACAACCTCGCGACGTTCGAACAACTCTGGGTGGTTACAGACCTACAAGAACAAGAGCAAAGCAACACGAGTGCACAACTTCAGATGCACAGACAAGACCTTGATGACATGTAAAGTAAGTCAACAAGAGCAAGCACAGCGCTCACAAATGAGTTTAAACACAGGGGCAGCACAGCGAGTTTAAAATCGTGACCCATAATGTAGAGCAAGAAGAAAATGCTACACAAATGTTGCATGGAATGGGTCGACTCGGACAATGTAACGGCCATGCGACTTTTACTAACAGTTAGTCCTTACGCCATGCAGCTAACATACCGTATATTCTCTATTATAAGCACAGGTCTTCATTATTAGCACAGTCTCTAATACTAGCACACTTTGAGCACCTTTCGAAACATTATAAGCACGGTCTCTATTATTAGCACGGTCTTGTTGGAAATCAATGCGGCATGCATGATATCTAGCATGTATTTCTTCTTTCTCTGTATGGATGTATTGGTTGAAAAAATATAAGCACGGTCTCCAATATAAGCACGGTCTCCAATATAAGCACGGTCTCCAATATAAGCGCGGTCTCCAATATAAGCACGGGGTAGAGGGGTGTTGAAAAAATATAAGCACGGCGCATATAATAGAGAATATACGGTAGTACTTATTGCAACATGCAGCACACTACACAAGTACAAGCTACCAAAAACAAATCCTTCCAATGAGAAGAGTGCCCTACCTTTCTGAACTGCATGACCAGGTTCATAAGGCTACTGCTGGTTGAGGATGTATTGGTGGAGTGATGTAAGAGCTCGTCCAGTGAAATCAGCTGGCGGATACCTCGGTACAAATACTGCTGACGGCGTGAAAGCGTGCAGTATTGCTCCAACTCAATCTAAACAAGGTGAACACACACACACACACACACACACACACACACACACACACAGGAGAGAAACACAAGAGAGTTTCGCCTTACAAGTACATTTTCAACTTCTCAGTGTAGTACAAGTTTTCTCTGCAAGTTTGATTCGTTCATGGCACCTGTTTGTTCACATAGAGACTTCTTTTCATGAAGTAACTTTTCAGATAGTGAAAAAGACAACGTGGCAACCCATTGTTGATAACCGAGCCAGACGAAAGGTCTTTATCTTGCAATGCTGCCTCTCGTCATTGACATAGCACCAACTGAAAGCACATCGCCGACGTGGACACGATCAGTACCTTTTCAGCCATCTCATTCTCCACGTCCTTCTTGATACGACGCAACATGAACGGCTTCAAGATCATGTGCAAGCGTGAGAGTTGATCTGCAACACCGACAACAGCAGGGTGACATTCAAACAAAGTCAAGAGTAACTAGTGAGAGAACTGATACAGTGAAGTGTGAAGTCAAATGGGCGGAAAAGTGCAAGATACTGAGTGGGGAGCAATCAACTTTCCTAACTAATACACGTCAACAATACCACAGGCAGGCTACAAATGTAGAAGACGGGACACAAGAGGCAGAATGGTTCAAAAATCTAATCCAGTGAACTTGCCAGCTGTGCCAACTCCTTGTCTATTTCCGGATTACAATTTTCAATGTGTATGCCCATGCAGCAGTCACATGCGTGTGCTGTGATATTGCCTCGTTGGCAGTAATAACTTTAATTGAAGAAGCTTCTACCGCTGGAGCTAGCGCTTCCTACCAACTGACATACACGTACACTCGACAGCAGGCAACACTAGGTCCAACATTGGCAGCAGCCGACTTATACTGCCATTGTTTGACCAGTTGTCTGCATGCAGGGCAACATATCACAGTGTATACGCGTGAGAGAGTGTAGTGCGTAGTGTGTAGTGCGTACATACATACACAATAGAGGCGATAGTACATGTACTTACGCTGATCAATGCTGGACTTCTTCTCCACCGAGTTCTCAATGTCTTTGGAGAACCACTCGTCAAACTCAGCATGCGAGTCGAATAGCGTGGGCATGATGAAATGAAGAAGAGCCCACAACTACATGAACCATATGGACACACAGGGATAAGAAACAGTCAATGATACCATTTAAAAAATCAACGAAAACAACACGGCTCAGTACAGGAGCCACGGAGGTGGGCGGCAAAGAGAAAATGCAGCAGATGATGTATTTGGAAAGTACCCTGAATCCTGCAATGCCATTGCTACACTTCTGAAAGAATGGCTGCCCATTTAGTGCTGCAGCCACACAAGATAACAGCATTTCAAATAAGAAAATTCAGGAGAGCTTGCCTATAAGGGAACTTACCTCAGCCATGCTGTTTTGAATAGGGGTACCAGTGAGTAGTAAGCGATTGCGACAGTTGAACCCAAGCAGAATCTTCCATCGGACACTGCAGCAGCAGCAGCAGCAGCAACAGGCAAATACAGCACATGGCACAAATATACAAAAGTGGTGAGAGAGATCTGACTTGTCCTGGATACAGTGTGCATGAGTACTAGTGGGCAGAGTAAAAATGTTCTAAAAACGGGTATGTCTTCCACAACCGTACGAGCTTCATAGCTATCAAGACTGCACAGTCCACCGACATCAAAGCACACCGTACATGTAATCCTTGAAGCATGACTCCGTGCAAGGCTGCTGATGACATGATCAGAGAAAGCGCTAGCTACAGTAGTGCTTTACAGTGTGCACAGCTGCATTGTGCTGACCTGGCTGAGCTCTTGATGGCCTGCGCCTCGTCAAGGATCATGTACTGCCACTTGATACGCTGGAAATACTTCACATCAGATATGATCTGCACACATACACGTCCACACGCGGACGGACGGAAAGCACCCAAAGAACACGGTCACACAAGGCAATAACCCCAGGGTAATAGCCTAGAACACTGTGAAGCAAGTCAATAGCAGCAACGCACATAGTAAGGAGACATTGGTAATCATGATTTGAGAATAGCAGTTACACAATCATGCACGTGTACTGGAAAGTACATGTATACACAAGGCTGATACACTTCAAAATATTCTAAAGGCATTCGTGCCAAAAACACTGTATAGGAAGACCTATGATCTGTTGACTCTCGATAAGTCTACTACGTAACACACACAGCAGGCAAATGTTGAAAGGAAATTGGCAAAGTGAGACTCAAACTCCTGCATTGCGTCCGCCTCCCGACAGACTTGCACCATGCACTTACCAGTTGATAGCTGGTGATGAGGACATGGAACGGCGCGTCCTTGCGATACAACTGACTCTGCCAGCACACGATGAATATGTCATGTACATGTACAACAACAGTAAGATACCCTGAAAACAAGGACATGATGGAATCACAGCTTGTTCGTCCACAGCCAGCTACAAGTAACATTTGCCGGTGGCTTCTTGCAACCCCGCACTTCAGCTTGCCATAAAGGCAACTCCAGTGACAAACAGGAGTTGACTACTAGAAATGGTCACACTTTTCGTCAACACATCCTGAAAGCACGTAACTTATGCAGTTGTAGATTGGAATTGGCCAGGCGCACGGAAAGCGCTTTCTTGTCTCTTCTCGAGTATCTCACCCGCAGGAAATGGTCATTAACTGCACTGGAGCTTTGCGAATGTCTGCAGAACTGCTGCGCATTAATTCGGAGCAGCTAATAAGCTCAACTTTTGACCCATTTAGAAAACAAATCCAAGATTATACATTATTTTCTGGATGGGTTGTAAGGACAAGCAGTGCTCTCATGAGCTCCTCTTACCTGGGTCCAAAACTTGCGCAATGTCTTACGCTCATTGGGATTTCCCCAGTATGGCAAGACCTAGCATACATACACACAGGTAGACAGACAGACAGACAGACATAGGAATCCACACAATGTACAAACAAAGGTAGTCACATGCTGTAGAGAAAGGGAGCAGAAAATCAAAGCCTTCGAAATCAAAAGGACCATATCAATGTATGCAGTGACAGCAGCAACAGCAGCAGCAGCTATCAGAGATGCCCCCCCCCCCCCCTCACACACACACACATACACCACCACCATGTCACCTCTATAATTATCAGGCAACTTACCTTGAAATCTGGCACAAAGCGAGTAACTTCTTGTTGCCAATTGTGCAGCGTTGAAGCTGGTGCTACAACCAAGAACGGTCCCCAGGTATTCTGATTCTACACGCATACAAACAAGCACACATACACGCACATGTACACACACATGTGCCGTACACAGAAATGTGTCATTAAGGGAGCAAATTGCAGTACGGCATCACACAAGCTACATTTGTCATGCAGATAGCGTAGAGTAGCGAAAATCAAGGAACAGAACTGCTGGTTATATGCCAATCAATAGAAGTCTACATGATGTCTTGTACCCGAGAGGCTCTACGAACACTTGTACAACTACAGTAGTAGCAGTGTAGCACTAACCTCGGAAAGATGGGCAAGCAAGGAGATGCTTTGCACGGTTTTACCAAGACCCATTTCATCAGCCAGGATACCATTGATGCCCTGTACAACAAGGGACATCAAACACAACAGAGCACAATCCAGAGCAGCCAATAAGGTAAGCCTGATCTCACAAGGGAAATAAGTGCAAATAATCGTGAATTTGGCGTGCCACATTGCCCGACCCCCCCCCCCCCCACCGCCGGCCATCAAACAGACTATTGGCAACCAGTACCTTCACCTTGTTGTCAACTTGCTCATATCCATTCAAAGTTCAAACCACACAGGCAATAAGCATGTGACTAAATGCCGCACTTTCCTTAGTACAATACTGTGAAAACTGTTGCGACAACTTACTTGATCATAGAGATTCGCCAGCCAATTCATACCCTATGAAATGGAAAATGCAGACACAAAAGGAAAGAAGTTAAGAAGGAGACCGCTGCAACCCCTCCGGCCAAATATTTGTGAACGGGTGTTTTAACATAAACTCAAGTTACTCAACTGCACCTGGAATCTGCATGGACACCAACAGCACACTGGGAAAGTCCAACAATAACACTGCGTTCACTGATTCCTGAGTCCTGCCAGTGCCTTGTTACACTGACTTAGCATAGCACAACAGTAATAGTCATTACTTGTGTAGATCACATCATGTGTGTGACTATACACCTTAGCCCAACGTGCCACAAGTAATAGTTCCAGGCTTCCAGCAGATCTCCTCAATTCAATTGGCTGTCTTGACATGCCACGAGGTGCAGAAATAAATAAATAAATAAGATACCGGACAACTCAAAGTATCATCATACCTTCAGCTGATAGACCTTGAGCTTGCCTCTAAACATCTTTGGCTGAGGTTTGAGATCGTCACCAAGTGACGGGTTTGCCAAGCTGTAGTTCATGTCAACTGTGATAGTAATACAGTAACAGATGCAGCAGCAGCAGCATTAGCAGCACAGCCAAGACAGCAGATGATAAACAGGACAAAGATGACGGATTAAAATAAGGTGTGCTCAATTCACAGAGTATGTTTGGGGAAACTAACACACGCGCATGCACGCGCGCGCGCACACACACACACACACACACACACACACACACACACACACACACACACACACACACACACACACACACACACACACACACACACACTTGTACTTGTACTTGTACTTGTACTTGCTCACTGCCAAAACTGGTCACGTGGGTCTCCCCGGGAGAGGGGAGAGAGACTCAAAAGGAATCTTGGAAAGATGACTCAATTGGCCATTGAACCACCCAACGGCCGACACCCCCTGAAATCCCCAAACTAGGGTGGACTTGAAATGATCCCACTTATGGGCTCACCACACCTCAGTAAGTGGGTGAGGACAAGGTGCAGAAAAAGGATTGACGGCATCACACACACACACACACACACACACACACACACACACACACACACACACACACACACACACACACACACACACACACACTGCATACAAACTTACAAGTGTCCTGGAGCTCGGTGGAACTGCCATCAACTGCACCCGAGTAGGCTTTAGTCTGAGATACAGAAAACAATACAAACACACACAACACCATTTCTGCAAACAATGCACCACATATTAATTTAAATGAAGTGTTCCTCTGCGTAATGAGGAAATAGAAAACAGGGCATGCATTGATTTTGCTAACATCAATCTGGTACGAGTTTTAAGAGCACCGTAAAGTCACTGACAAGAGGCTTAGAGCCCACCCTGGCATGCATAAAAATTTCTTATTCTGAACAGACGCTAAGAAATCAGTACACACGTCTCCTACCAGTAGACCAGCACGCCGTGCAACCTGTTTTCAAGCGAACACTTCTAATATGAAGCGTTGGCATGAGCGGGCGCCTGTCCACGATTTTCCGGTACGATCACAAGGCGACTGGCCACAGGCTGCAGCTACTACTACTAACCTTGGCTTCGTGGGTGTTGAGCGCATGCTGGACATTGGCCAACGCCTGTGCTTTCATTGCCTCAGCATCTGTACAAGTAAGAAACACATGCGCACAACCGTATGGCATTGTAACACACACAGGTACTAAGGTCAACGTCTGCACACCCAAGCACAACGTGCATACCGTGGTTACAGCCTCAATAACATGCACAGCCAGACCACCAAAATGCCAATATGGGGCAACTGCTACCTGATAATTTAAGAAGACAATGTAAAATGCTTAACACTAAGTAGACTACGAACAAACATAGTCCATGAGATTGCCAAGAAACAATGCACTTGACAGACATGCACACACGCACAAACATACAAGCTCTAAGAAACAGGGCCAGTGCAGTATCAACACCCACTCACCATAATCTTCTGCTGTTTCCAGCGTCACCAATGTACCGTCCGCTGCACGTCGTTGCAATGGACCATCATCAAGCTTCTCCAAAATAGCGTCACCAGAAGCGTCGCCTCCCTCGCCATCCTCCTCGTCCTTGTCTACAAGAATCGACACAAATTAGAAACATTTTTTACAAAGCTGCATGTGATGTATGACGTAAGGCGACACCGTAGAAAGGGGAGATGAAGAGTGGCCTAAATTGGTAACGGTCTGGCCACAGCAGAAACACACTTTCCGTATGAGCCGAGGTTGTTCTGTTGTGGGAAGGCAGCCATGCCAGCTCAATTGTGCAAATCCAAAAATAAAGAAATGACAACTCACCTTTACTAAGCTTCTTGCCGATGAAATGAGCATACAGCTCTGTTTGGGTGATCAAGAAATTAAGCTTCCGTTGCTGTCTCTTCGCCTAAGTATGCACGCCCGTCCATATACAAATACACGGAAGAACAAACGTGAATACACATGCTCACTAAAAGTTTGATAAAATAGAAAGAGATGAGAAAGAACAGTCAAATGAGCCTTAGAAGCATGCATTACCCAGGCGCGTGCCCCGTCTGGGTTCCTGGGTGCCCGGAACCCCCCCCCCTTTTTCGCTCAAAATGCAGGATTTTGCTTCATTTTTTTGAAAATTTTCACGGGGGACGCCCCCGAACCCCCCCCCCCCCCCCCCTTGAAGGGCACTGGCGCACGCGCCTGTTACCCCCCCCCCCCCCGCACACTCAGAGAAAGGAAGAAACAAAGGTGACTGGAAGAGCTGAAACATGAGTAGTATCACCAAGAGTCCATAACCCAAGAGTATGCAACTGTGATCTCTTTTCTATGGGCCAACCGCGCGGCGCGCTGCCTTCATTACATCATTCAGCTGCAGTCCGCGCACTGCGGAAAATCAAACACCGCACTTTCCCTCTAGTTTGAAATGAACTTTCGTACGGAACTGGAGTTCACGCGCCAGAATTCAGAGATTGTGTAGGTACTGGAACGAATCGAGCAAAAACGGATGGGCTCGTGCGAGAAATTGAGAGTTTGAATGCATGCTTTCAGAGCGTGATGAAGGCAAGTTACGTAATGAAGGCAGCGCGCCACGCATGCACCCATCATCACAGTTGCATACTCTTGGGTTATGGACTCTTGGTATCACACATGGCTCGTGTAATTCGCAGATTATTCTTGCCTTGAGGCACCGTGAATACAAACTGAAACTCACTTCACGGAGCTCTTCGTCCTGTTTCCGCTGTTCCATGGCTTCCTTCTCAGCACGACGCCTGTGCTCCCGCTCCACCTTGTCAAACCGCTTCCAAAAGATCAGCATCTAAAGCAGATAATAGTGGAAGAGGAATAATAGTGGAAGAGGAGAGGAACCGCTAGCACTTGTACGGCATTCTACAGTCTCACCGGAATCTAGACTCATAGACAGATGACTTTCTGTTGCGTAGCTATGTGCATAATGAACCTTGCATAAATATAAGTATATACACGTACCCGTGTTCTTGTATGATTCCACAGGCAACTAAGCACCGCAGGTATGTGTACCATGCTTCAATGTGAGTTGTGATGCACCACTACGACATACGTCTCACATGAAATGGCAATGATAAGCTAGCAAGGTTACTGGCACTCCTCATAAGACTCAACATCTGTATACAGACTAGTAATAGCAACACACAAGCAGTTGTCATGGCTGTCATCGTCGTTGTTGATGCTACGGCTAAAGTGTAAAGAAGTGTGTTGCAAAGAAGGACAGGTACAGAGATGGGTAAGCACAAGCAGTACTTACTTCTTTGGTAAGGCGACGAGCGCGCGGTATCGTCTCCTTGCTTGCTTTCTGCGAGACCTGCCACTCCTTGCGTACCTCCTTTTGACATAGCTGTGCAATCTGTGTAGACCATCATGACATCAATACACAAACCACACGCATGTGAGTGTACGCACATATGCATGCACACACACAGTGAACGGCAATATGCGACCAGCACACTGCACTGCACTTTTCCTACTTCTTACACTTCAAAGTACGTGTACATGTGCATGACAAGGACTTCTCCTTCACTAGACCAACCTTTCTGCAGTTGCCCTGTATAGTGTTGAACGCTGTGCTGAACTGGCGTTGCATCTACAACATGACAACACAATGAGAGACAAAAACAAGACGCCAAGCAACCAGATTACAAGCCTGATCAACCACCATACCACAACTAACAAGAGAACATTAAAATGTCTGCTAATGTACAGTGGCCAACAGTTGGGCAACAATCGGCCACTTATCTCACCCTGGGAACGTCCTTCTTGGCAACAATACTCCAAACGCGTTGCCGCTTCATGTCAAGCTCCTTCTGTTTGCTCCTCTTCTTCTTACGCTCATCCAGACTCTTTTTCTTCATCTGCAAACCAGAAAAGAGAGAAGGTACCAAACTCTGGCCAAGCTACTCATACATGCAATGGCCTACAGCAGTCAGCAGGCAGACATAATTGTACAGTGCTGGACTAGTGATAGCAAAATACAGTCTAGAAAGATTTGTTGAAGACTCCAATTTCACAGTCTTATGAAAAGTTGAACAGTCACTGCCGGGATGACGACTGCATCATACCTTATAGACCTTTCACACGACGAGAGAAAGTCACGTCTTCTCGGCTTCACGTGAGGAGAGCATCACTGGCCATAAGCGAAGGTATACTCCAATGCAGCATTATGTACTGGTAGAGTAATAGTGGAAAATACACTTGAGAAATGGCAGTAAAATGCCAGAACTCTTTGCCAGAAACGTTACAGCCTAGGGAGCGTTGTGAGGGCAGGTGCAATTACCACCATTACTCTACTACTTCAGAACTACACTAAGTCAATCTATTCTAACCTTGGCTGCCAGCAACGCAGCTTGTTTCTTCTGCTTCTTCAGCAGTTTCATCTTCTTGATCTTGGCTTTCATTGCTGAACAGCAGAAAAAGTAAGAACAATATAGGATCAAGGATGCACACTGACAGAACTTGGAAAACGTACTCAAATGTAACTACAACAGATAAATGCATACTGCACATGTGTTTCGATGAACATTCACAATTCCACTCCTCATACAGCCCCTCAACACTAGCCTGCAGATAGGAACACAGAGTCTACTGGGAGTATCCAAAAAGAAAGGCTCGCTGGATCCACATCAGCATCGCATGATGGGCAGAGAAGCAAGCCAACTCGCCTTCGCTGTGACTGGCTGCCACCGTGCCTTGTTATGTAATGGCAGATGCAAACCTCACAAGTAACTCAGGGAGAGGGTGTACTCTGAAGCCGAGTTAAATTATAGCAGACTGCGTGGCTGATCCATAACCCAACTGTCATTCCCATAACCCAACAATAGCCACATAGACAAGTAGGAAAAGGACTATGAGTATGACATCCAGGTAATCTCTCAGTGACAGGCACGAACCAGATCTGTTGAGACAAACGTCAATCCAAGCAACATACCCAGCAAACGTACCTGCTTTCGACTCCTTGCTGCTTGCCTTGGGTTTGGCTGTAGACTTGTTGAGTGATACAAATGGATCATGATCACAGAGTACACCAGCAGAGTAGAATTGGTACTGTCGCAGGTGACTGTTCTCATGAAACAGGCCCTGGCGATAGCGACGTAACTTGTGCAGCTGAAGCAAGCTCTGGCAATCATCTTCCAAGATTTCGTCTTCCGACGAGCCTGATGAGTCGCTCAGAAGCATGTCCTAATGAGGAACAGTGAGGAGAAGTAAAAGTAAGATCAGCGACAGCAATATTATTATTCTAAACTGGCACAACACAGCACACAGTAGAATACAAGAGTACTTTCTGTGTACGTAACAATAGCATTTCGATGCAAAAATAAAATTCTGGCAAGCAAATAGAGCAGTGCTTTACCTCCAGCCATTGTCGCTTGCGTCCCAGCTGGCTAAAATTGTACTCCACACAGCTATCTCTTACTCTCTTCGGCCCTGAAGTAAAAATGACCAGAAAAATACAAACGTACAGCGAGAAGACAGATCTCGTGGATAAGATCACGGACCGCACATAGCAAATATTGAAGTAACTGTTCTTGTAGATGAGAGAACTTCATACACAAAACTAGTGTTGAAACGAATAATCGAATAATTTAGAATATTCGTGGGGTGAACGAATAATCGAATAGTCGTAGGAATTATCAGAAATGGAAAAAAAAAAAAAAAAACCATCTATGCTCAGTGCTGACCCTACTGATATTTGCACTGCGTAGATCTGCTCGCAGTATTTCTTCTCAATCTCTTCTCCTCCAAGTTTTAATCTCCTATTGGTATCTAGTATTACTTCTGTTCTTTCTATACGAGGGAAACATGGATGCAGTGAATGTGATTTTCGGTCTTTGACCACTTTCGACCAAGAGTCAAGACCCTATCATAGTATGCAGAGCTGGATCAGGCGTTGCACACTCTGGGGGGTTATGTACTCTTGGCGGTACAGGTTAACCGTAGATTATTCGTTCGATGGAGGACGAAATTATTCGATAGATTACAGTCAACTTCGCTAATAACGACATCGGATATAACGACAATTCGCGAATAACGACAGAGTTTCCATGCCCAGAGCAAAGTCCTATCCCACTGTAATACATATAATGAGACTTCGGGTATAACGACACTTCGCGAATAAGGACACCTTTTTGATGCCCCGCCGAGTGTCGTTATAAGCGAAGTTGACTGTATTCGTTCGAAGAATCCGTGTTCGGTTTAAACACTACACAAAACAGTGCGTACAGTTGTGGTCCTTGTGGGCATTGAAATCCGAGAAAACGTGTACGCAGTCAAGGGCACTGGCCTTGCAGCCGTGTATATGCATGCGGTGCCATGCCTACAAATTCTAGCCAGGCTTCAGAACATGTACTTCATTTTTCGTGCGTGTGGATCTATCCAGCCAAAATGGAACATCTCAGCACAGGGTATGTGTATAACCAGTACTCATTTGCCGTTCGAATGCTTGTTGTATAAAATATCTCTATTCCACTTGATTTCAATGTCCACAACTGTAGTATGGATCGTTGTGTGGAAAACGAAAGAGACGCGATGTGTAATGCACAGTATATGTCCATGCGACAATGGGCGCATCTTCTTAGCACTATTGCATAACTCACTCTTCTTCTTGGACGAATGCCGGGACTGTGAGCTAGCAGCCGTTCCACCACTGTTGCTGACAGCAGTGGCACTCTTGCTGCCGGGCTTTCGCTCGCCTGACTCTCCATCATTCCATGCTTCATCGTCACTAGCATCAAATAGTACATAAGACAGAAACCATGTACAGCCTGTGATAATTATGGACGGCCCCTTAACGATCGATTTATCGATTATAATCATTAGCAAATACTCAAATAGTGTCAGAATTTTGTGCGAAAATTACTCTGTTTCCGAAAGCTAGGCTTTCATACTACCAAAAATCTGCATTAGGGACAGGGTAGGTCCGAAACATGGCAGTTTTGAAGTCAATTCAACCTCAGAATATGCACTATGTCCCAGGCAACTGTATACTCACAGTGGAAACTGATTCAAACTTCACAAAACGAGGGTTTTCAGTACTTTTTGGACTCAAAATCCCTAGCGAGTAATCTATAACATAACGATTAATTGATTGATAAGGAATTATCGATCGCTTACGCGCTTACCGAGTAATTGGTATAATCGTTTCAGCCCTAGTATATTCACAAGAAAATTAATGATGTACTAGTAAAGCAAGCATGAACTACTACTACTGGACTTCCTATAAATTGAAACAGGGATGCTGGTTGGACATACATGTACGTTTGCACCGAACTGAACAAATTCGGAACGATAGAATAGATGACCCAATAATTCTCAACTCTAAATAGGTATTGGTAGTGGGAATTACCATCACCATAAAATTCTTCTCAATGCAAATTTAAATTATGCATGTTTTACCTGTCGAAAGGGGCAATGGACTGGTCTAGAAGCTTATCGACTTGACTGAAAAGAGGCTCCAAATTCAGCAGCTGCTGTACGTTCTTCACACTCAATGGAATTGCGGCGTAAGTATTGTGATCTTGACGATCCTCCCGGGCACTACCATGGAGTCCATTCACATCGGCCATGTCAAACACAATTTTGAATTATTACCTAAAACACAATAGAATGGAAATGCTATTATACAGTCGATGTAGTAGGCTTCAAACGCAACTACGCATTTCGCATAACGTATCTCACAAGGCAACAGGTAAGAACAGACTTTATCACGTTCAAAAACAGATCGCTCTACCTTTTGAAAGAGGAAAACAAACTCAAACTGAGCCGATAGACGAGCGAAATACCACCTGAGCATATGCTCAGGCACATCTGATCAGCGCATACAATGCATGCAGCCGCCAAGACTCAGGATAGGTGGAGATGGAGGGAATAAACGGGCAGAAACCTCTTGCTTCCACGGTGCAAGGAAAACATTACTTGTGAGCCCAGTGTGATGAGAGAGGCAAGGACAGAGATCGTCCATCAGCGCCACGCATCACAATCACTGGGCTGCTGCTCATTTGGCTCTGGTTGGGGCCTGGCACTGCAGTGGCACGCCAACCATCATCACAAGCATCAGCATCAACAGTTGGGATAGGGAGGCCGAGGACGTAGCAGGTAGCCACCGCCGGGACTCCATTACAGGCACGCATGCATCCGCGCTCGCTGTGGTCATGGTGGTCGTGGCTCTAGCTCTAGACTCTATGTCTGCACAGCTAGCTAGCTCAGTCATAAAAATGCAGAAAGCCCACGATCGAAAGGATTTGCGCGTGCGCCAAAAGTCAACCTTTCATTTTTATCAAATCGGACCATGCATGATCTAGCTGTAGATCTACTGACATGACTGTAAGCTGTCTGTGTTCAGTCAAGTCGACTCCCTGGCCTGGCCCTGCTGCATGCACTGCTGTGCAACAATCTACTCTCAGACTCAGAGTCAGATCTGTACTGTGGATACTTACTGGATACATGAAGCACAATATTCAATAATGAGCGAGTTCGAGTGCTGAGTAGATCATAGTTGCCATGTGGATCAGGAATAAAGTCACTTGATCTGAAAGTATCTTTCTTATTACTTGATATGTACACAACATGTTTACAGCTGGCTGAAAGGCTGCTCTGTGAATAGAATGGGATTTCGATAATGACTGCAGTGTGTAGATCTATCATTTTATTACCTTTACAAAGTACAATGCAGTTGCATGATTGTTAACATAGTTTCTCTTGACGTGTTTTGGTGAATGACCATCCAGTCCATGCACTTCAATTCTTCGACATACCAGACTTGCAAACACAGTACAACATACATGTATGTCGCATATTCATCTTCTGCTTTCTCTCCTTTCTACATTAAAAGTAAAACGCATTGGGTACTTTGCGTAAAAAGAAAAAGAAAAGTCTCAAAGATGGGCATAGCAAGATGCATTGAATATGCCAGCAAGCGCTATTGGGTTAGTTGCAGTAACGATAATGGTGTGTAAGAGTGGACGTATGGCAGTACAGTACAGTACAGTCATGCATTGCAACAAGGCCAATGGGTGAGCAACGATACGCAAGGCCAGAACGATAATGCAAACCCAGTTATTAACATGGGTCATCACGCTCTCCTCCTCCTAGTCTGCCGTCCGTCCATCTCTCTCTCACTCACTCACACACACACACACACATGCACTTGCCCAGAAACACAATAAACAGCAAAATATCTGGTGAACGGAAGTCACCACAGCCAGGAAATAAATTTAAAACAGAACTAGGGCCGCCTGGGCTTTAGGCAATAACAATGTCAAAGTCCTCGCCAATGTTAACATCAGGCTTGCGGATGACAAGACGACTATGACTGGCGTTGAAGTAGAAGGCCAGTTGACGTTGGGATCCTGTTGCGGGAAACACAGAGCCAAAACCAAGGAGAACACCAGACTAGCGTGATCCATACACAAACCTCTAACATGATCTGAGAAGAAGCTGCATCTAAGCAGTTCTGCAACGTGGCATCTAAATACTGTTGCGAATGCAAGCAGACTGGCATCAGTTTGATATGTGTATGTGTGTGCTTGTGTGTATGTACTTTACGGTATGTGCGTGTAAAGGACTGACCTACGGCAACGCATGACACTGGAACAACTGAGCGTGAAAGCAAAAGTCAGGACGTGCTACGTAGTATACTGCCACACTCGAAAACCACAAATACCCCCACATGTACACACCTGGCTGCAACTTCTCAACAACTGAAACAAACGACTGCAACAGACAAGAGCATGAAGCAGCAGCAGCATGAAGCAGCAGCAGCAGCAGCAGCAGCAGCAGCAGCATCGACAGCGGTGGCAGTAGCAGTATGGATGACTTCCTTACCGTTACTCAGCGTCAGTGTAACGGTGGCAGGCTGAGCCGTGATACCAATCACATCAATACGCTGCACCCAGGACTCGGAGCGATACGAACCAGCAGTATCTCCGTTCCTATGTGGACAACAGCCAGCAAATGACAAAAACACAGCACGGGTCAGTAAGGCAAAACCAGTTACCGTATTTTACCGGTTGTAAGTCGACCCCGGTTATAGGTCGACCCCCGTATCCGGAGGTCTCAATTCTGCGTTTTAAAGTTTTCACCCAACGAAGCACTACCAACCACTCCCTGCTACTAACACATCAACAAATCATGTAAACATTCCTTATTGGAGGGTATAAGGTCCCAATCCTTGAAAAAGGCCAATAAACTGGCAAACGTGTGTACACATGGTGCACTCATGCATGCAGGGCAGGTAATTTTTTGTAAGATTCTGATAGTTCCCGGTTATAAGTCGAATCCCGGTTGTAAGTCGACCCCCACCCTTTCTCCTTCTATTTTTAGTCGTAAAAGGTCGACTTACAACCGGAAAAATACGGTATACCATCACCAAAACTTGAGTGCACACATCTGGAGAGGGAACACAGGAGCAAAAACTTGAAGGGAGGAGACTGACTTACTGGTTCTTGGTAAAAAGTTACTTATACGAAAAACTACCATTAACAATTACCCATGGAATCATGTTGCCGGATTCTACAAATGATTTCAACAAAAAGTGAGCCGCTGCTTACACTCGTATTACCATACTTCCCCACATATAGCGCATGTGCTTATAAGCGAAATCTGCTGCAACATAATTTTTTGCCGAGTAAACATATCCGGGTAGAAGCACATGCTCTTGTCATTAAAGGTTTGTCTGTGTCTTAAACAATGGCGTTGTCACAATGCTTAGTGGTATGTTCAGCTCCCGGGTGTTTCACCAATCGTGCTCACATATAAGCACACGCGCTTATAATTAGGGGGTGCGCTTATGTCCGGACATAAGCGTACGCGCTTGCCGGTATATGCGCGAGAAGTACAGTATCAAATACATGACGGTTGTACTAAGCACACAAGGCATACCATGCACGCGATAACTCTCCACTCACCTGGATGTAAACTTGCCAGCAGTGAACTCAAAGTTGCGCAGCAGGTACTTGCCAGAGTGGTGGTCAAACGTTGTCTCATCATCCATGTACAGATCGCCCTTGGCCGAGCCCTGTTCGAAAGCAGCAGCAGATGCACATGCAGGAGGTGTCCTGTTAGAACAATCTGTTACACCAGTTCATCTGCAAAAAGCATTACTAGACTAAATGGAGCGAACTGGTGAAACCTAAATCTAACATAAGCAGAAGGGATGTATTAAACCTGACTTTGAACTACTAAGCAAACTGAGCTTCAAAGCTGTCCTTCAAAATAAGCCTTCGCTTCAGGCAAAGTAAACTTTAAAAAAATGTCCATGTCTTTGGCCATGGATAAGTACGCACACACCCCAGCAAACTGCAAGCAATCAGCAGCACAACCTTTTCAGGGCTAGTACAGACACAACACTGCAGCCTCCATCCTTTTACTATTGTAGAGCACCTAGTCATCATGACTTCAAAACCGCACCACAACCGTATCTAGTCGACTGCAATAGCCAAGTAGGCCTCGGAAGTGACTTGGGTTTTCACAATACACTCGTTGCCAGTGCGTGCATAATGGATGAGCTCCACTGCAAGATGAGACAGAGCTGACCTGGTTGTTGAGTGCAACGGTTAGAGTAAGAGGATCATTTAACATCTGCACCGTAGAGCGGCGAATGCGTTCCTTGGTGGGGATAATACTGCCACCACGCTGGAAGAGAGGAATCTGTGGCAGAGGGGAACATAAAAGAGAACAAGCACAATGGAGCTTGGAGTTTAGCACATACGCACAGACATACAACACACACACAGCACTAGAACAAGCTTCTGTTCGTGAAACACTTCAACCAGAACGGAAAATTCACAGAAGGGTACTAGCAGCTGGACCAAAAACTCAAAGACAGACAAAATAGCCAGCACTTGTACCTAGATGCACCTTTGCGAATGCGTGCATGCGTGCTTTGTGTGTCGTTTGAGTAAGCCTTGCCATTTCATTCCCTCAGCCTAGCTTTCACAGGACCAGCCAGACTGCAGTGATAAAATTAATAGTTGAATACAGTGGAAAAGCAGGGCAGACAGACTAGCAGGTGCACCGAATCGCAGGCATAGAGCCGTTGCAGCATAAACAGAACTCCAATTATCACTCGTAGTCCATAGCAAATCCTGGATACTCAGTGGAAAGTGACCCTATTAATGCATGTATATGACTGTACATGTACTTGGTATCACTCAGCATAGGAGTGGACACAGAAAAGCGCACGGCAACCTACCCTGTCCAGTGTGACTGAAAGAGTGATGGTCTGTCCTCCGGTGTAGCGGCTCAGGTCATCAGTGGCATACCATACCTGCAGTGTGCAAGAATACCACAGTGGCAACAAGAAACACACAATCACTCACACTGGTGACATCACAGCCGCCGCAAATGAAACAATGCACAAAGGACTGGGACAGTCACAACGTTAATTTCACATTTACACACAATACAACATGAGGATGTTTTTCTAACCCCAACGACGTTTAATAGAAAAACTGAAAAAGGCACACTAACATCTCAACTGCTACCGACATCCCACAAGCCGCTTTGATGAACCAAAATGTGTTTCACTTGGTGTGTGTGTGTGCGTGTCTTGTATAGCCAAAAAGCATACCTCATCCTTGCCAGGCAAGTACACATCCCAGGATGATACACCAGCCTCGGTGACAGGCTTGGCTAGCAATGCAGAACCTAACCAAAATAGCACAAGCACCAAGAAAACACAAAGCAGCTGTTACAATCGTATGGAAGAACATACTTCAGAAGTAGAACATACAGAGTGCTGTAGAGAAAAACCTTGGGGTATACCCAACTGCTGAAGTGCATAGCATACTGAAGTTATGCTCACAGCAAATTGGTACCACAGCTTGGTTGGGTCTTTTGGTGGTGAATATTTTCTGAACTGATGATGGTTTGGAATGTTATCAACTGCAAAGGCTGATGCAGACAACAGACCCAGGGGAAAACGGGATCACTCACCAATGAGGTATTCCTCTTCAAGGGAGAATGTTGCTTCTTCACTTGGGAACTCAACCCACAGAGGCCTAGCACGAGCAAGAGCAACCAAGAAACAACAAACAGGTTGCCATAGCAAAAACACAGTTGATACCATTTTTGTTCCGTATTGAGTATGCAGAGACGATAAACTGGTCAATATGATACGCTACATGGTGAATGAGATGTACTGGGATATGGGTAGTGGTGAGACCAAGAAGCCCGGATAAGAGGCATTCGAGTGTCCAGTAATGATATCATGCTCAGTGCCCTGGGGAGAACAAGAAATCCTCAAACACAGTTGCATGCGGCTCAACATGCCCATTCCGTACGCTCTGAAGTCCTGCTCACAAATAACCGAGTCAGTGCAAGGATGTATGATGGCATTACTCCTGATGACTGCAAAATAGGGGTGAAACGAGTATCTATTTTGACCAATCGATCACTCATTCATAGTATTCGATCGAGTATCCGATTATTTCGAGTATTTTATCGAAATTCAAAAGCGCTAGATTTGTGAGTTCTTGAGCAATTCGGAAGAAATTATCTGTGAACATAGAACAAAAGTCGCCAACGTCTTGTACAGAGTGTAAAGTAACGATTTTCACCAGTACTTTCATTATCTCAAAACAAAATAACGTTACTTGCCGTGGTGATCGCATCGTCCAAGTCATAAAATACTGACTCAAAGGCACGAATAATGCATGCATACCAGTCGATGAGCAGTACAACAGAAGTTTTTGAAAAATAAAAGGCCAGTACAGGTAGACTCCCTCTAATTCGAACACGGTATAATTCGAACTTTTTCGTCGTACCGATCTTCTGCAAGTCACTTCAAGTCAAAATCGAATGCATAATTCGAAGTACGAAAAGTGCGCCGGTTGGATAATTCGAACCCAGTCTTCGTACAGAAGAGCTATTTACAGTACATTGGCTATGTCCTTTGAATGCTTATTTCGAAGTGAGATTGAGTTGCTATCCTTGTAATTCGAAGTTCATTCTTTTCTCCTTCTCTAGCCAAGAGTAGCTCAAAAATCGATCGATGGTCCGCTGCAGGATCGACTATAGCGTTCAAGAAACCCACCTTCTCTCGGAATTTCTTTCAAGCCCGTGCGAGGGAAATTGCAAAGGTTTGATTGAAGACGACGTCTTCCAGGTGGCTGACTCTCTTCGCGGATCTCGATGGCCTTTCTTGCCGCGCCAGCTCGTGCGAGGAGATGTTGGGGCACAAAAACACTATTGTCGTAAATATAGTCTATGCCTATGCTCCACTTCCGTTCTTCAGAATGTCTGAATGACATGCTGCTGTCCGACGGCCTTTCATGACGTGGATTAGGCAGCGCAGTTCTTTTCCGTTGAAACTGTTTCAGGAAAGCTGCAGTGACTGACAACTTCTTCACTAGAAAATGAAGATGTCAAAATGAAGCATTTTGACATACATATCAGTGCATGGGGCTGCATTTGGATAATTAGAAGTTCTGGATAATTCGAAGTTAGGGCCTGGCAATTTGAGGTTCGAATTAAAGGGAGTCTACCTGTACTAAAAAAAAAAAAAAAAAAAAAAAAAAAAAAAAAAAAAAAACGATCGAGTGCAAAATTTCGAATACTCGCTCGTTTGAGATTTTCGAACGAATACTCGAATATTCGAACTAATCGTTTCACCCCTACTGCAAAATTGACAAATTTTTGTTCTTGATTCAAAAGTTGACGGATGCAATACAAGCTGCTCTTACCTCATGGTGGGTACACCAGTCTTAGAAGCATGGTAATACAGGGTATACCAGAATGGCAGCCTAGAGTAACGTGCGAGGATGGCATTGCGGATGCGCTGCATCACATTCTCGTCATGAAGGTACGGCTCACGGCGCTTAGTGTCGAGGTGAGCATGGGCACGGAAGAACGGCTGATGGGCGCCGGCCTAGAGCATGGTAAGATAGCATGCACACCGACCCGCATGCACACATGCACACACACACACACGCTACAGCATGAATGACCAGAGGACAGCGTCACCCGCAAAGAACCAGGCAGGGAAGGGAGCAGAATTTGGAGCAGAGAATCATAAGCAGAACTTCTGATGTATAGCATCAGATTCTCATCAAGTTATAGCTTGGTGATTTGGGGTAACACCATGTTTATGGTGGCTATCTGCACAATGAAAGTCACTACAACAAACGACTGAAGTTACAACACCAACAATCTAACCTGGATGCCCAGACCATAAACATTGCAATGCTTACCTGATACCAACGAATCAGCAGCTCAGAGTCGGGATTCTTGAAAAATCCACCAACATCAGCTGCAGAGACACAAACACACACACACGCAGAGGAAACAGATACACACAATTCAGCTGAAGTACACGCTTCCTGCACAGCAATTGCCTTGATTCATTTACTTCTAAGTAGTCGGTTAATTTCAGCTCTTGCTTCCACCAATTAGCAACCCTGACGGTGCTATATGAACAAGAATACATGTACAGTCACTACACGTACCGGCACACAGTACATGACAGTACAAGCACATGCACAGCATACTACAAAGGTAGTAGTGAGACCTACTGAAAGAACACTAAACATAGGCTTACCACCAGCGAAAGTGAGACCAGTCAGTCCAATAGAGAGCAGCATGGGCATGGATGCCTTCAAGTGTCCCCAATCAGCCGTGTTGTCACCAGTCCAGATAGCACCGAAACGCTGAGATCCAGCAAAGAAGGCACGCGACAGAACGAAAGGACGATCGCGGCCGCCGGAGCGGGCAACCTGTCCTTCGCCGGTGGCTTGTGGCTGGAGCATACCGTAGACATTGTGAACATCGCGATGTTCCCAGTCTCCGTGATGCTTGGCATCCTTGTGCATGGTGATCTCGGGACCGTTGAAGACGGACGGTTCGTTCATGTCGTTCCACGTGAACAGCGAGGTTGTGGAGCCGGAGTAGCGACTGAGCGACAGCTGCTCTGCCCACCACTTGCGAATGTCTGGACTCGTAAAGTCAATCCAGGACGATGAACCGGGCCAGCACCAGCCATCGTAGTCTCCACCGTTGTGATTCTTGATGTACAGACCCTGAGAGGACGCGTCCGAGTGAATGTGATAGCCATCCTCGCGCTTGATATGAGGATCGACAATGGTGACCATGCGGCGTCCGTACGACCAAAGCTTGTCGAGCATCTCCTTGGAGTTGGGGAATTTGGCAACGTCCCAGGTGAAGTACTTCTTGCCGTCAGTGTGCTCAATATCCAGCCAGATGACGTCGACTGGGATATCATGATCCTCGTATCCCTTATTCACACCATACACGTCCTCCTGATCATTGTAGTTCCAGCGACACTGGTGGTATGCAATAGAGAACATCTGCATGATATTCAGAACAACAACGACAACAACAAGAAACAGCACAGATAGGCCATGAGCTCACTAAAATCAAGAACTTAACACAATACCAGAATGCTGAACCCAACATGTGACAGAATCACAAGCAACAACATGGCTAGTTTAGGATAGAGCACTCACTGGTGGAAGAGGTGTTGGTCCAGTCAGTGCTGCATACTGCCGGAACAGGTCGTGCGGCTTGGGGCCCAGCATAACAAACACGTCGATAATGCCACTCTCCGAGAACCAGTGTGTGTCGATCTGCGGTGTCTCATCACTACCGTGGAAGTAGGACAGCATACTTAAGATTCCCTGCACACATGAGGACAAAAACATACAGGCACACACAGGCACGCACAAGAACATAAATACATGAATACCTGGGCGGGCAGACAAGCAGGCATGCAGGCAGGGGCACTACGTGGCGGTCAGCAGTGAGCAATGATGATCCAATGCACAATGGTTTTCACTAACACTCAACAAGCACTATGCACACAGCGCATAACTGTCAACAACAAGACAGAAGGTGTAAAAACAGTATCGGTCCAGAACACACAAACTTCTCATATCGTGCGTGCTTCTGTAAGTAATGTTGCAGCACACCAGGACAGGAACCTACTTCAGGACTTACAGACTTAGCCAAGGAGTTGCTGACGTCAATCCACGTTTCCGCGGCATTGTTCCAGAATACGGACGTAGAGTGCTGAGCACTACAGCATTGTAGGGCAACAGTCAGCGAAGAGACAGAACAAGTACCACTGTCAATACATGTAGACCTGAATTTGCACACAATAGTGCTCTCTCTCTCTCTCTCTCTCTCTCTCTCTCTCTCTCTCTCTCTCTCTCTCTCTCTCTCTCTATCGTTAATATTCTAAAAAGGCCGTCGGTGTAACCAAGGACCAGTGGGAAGTGTTCTTCAAGTGCTAATCCACAACATTGTAAGTACATTACTGTACAGCACTTGCATACAAATCACTTCACATCAGGAAAGCTACTGCATCTCGACATCCGGGCAGCATTCAGTCGGCCCAAGTATCTTGACCAAACACTTGGTAAATAGTAAATACCCTCTATTACAACCAAACAGCACAAATGAATAAAGCAGCAAAACTGCAAGGAGAGCGTAAAAAGGTTAAGTGCGACTCTAAGTTAGTTTCACGTCCATACACGAGTAACAAGGAACACGTGTGTAAAACATGCTAGGAGTTGCAAGGAATTGTTCTCCTCTCCCCTTACTGTGTGAGAAAGATCTGCCTCGGGTGTAGAGCAGTCTTCAGGCATAGAGTACCCTGTGTTCTTATGTGAAATTAGCAATAGCACACATCACACTTACTTGTGTGCCATCATGACGGGAATGGAGCCGTAGAGGGCCATGGGGTTGTTCAGCTCATACTCAAACACATCCAAGTTGTACAGCCGGTATGGCTCAGAATGGTGGGCGCCATTTCCCCTGCAACACCATTGGACCATCGCAACACACAGACACAAGCACACACAATACACGGGCATCACTCACTTCGTCAAGTTCAAAAAATACAAAACAGGGACGTCAAGGCACAAACCCATACAAGCAGGCACAAGCCATGCATGCCTTCAATAAGTACAAGTACAGAGAAGCTTGCCTAAAGGCACTACCACAGGGTGCACAGGAGATTAGTGTACTAGACAGGTGACTTACTTGGTCAGTTTGAGTGCAAGGGAGTCAGCATGCTCTGGAATACCATAAACATGCTCCACACCGGGGAAGGAGATATCCATACCAAGAGAACTCGGACCTGGTCACAACGGTTGCGCAAGAACACACACTCGTGCGCACACACACACACACACACACATGCGCACACACACATGCGCGCGCACACACACACACACACACTCACCACACACGCACACACACACCACACGCGCGCACGCACACACACAATCAGCAACACCGCAGCCAACACAATCAAATTGAGGAAGTAGGACAGGCAAAAATCAAGACTTTAAAGGGGAAGTTAAGGCAAAAATTAAAATTTCACCAGTTGTAGTCTTCGGGGTGCTGAGTCGAATGGTCTTGGTCCGAGAAAGCTGAGACGCTCCCTTCCTACTTGAATCCCAATCGAACTCGCGCACTTCCACCGAAACTGGGTGACTGCGCCCTACTAGATGGGGATTTGTATGCAAAATGTCACTAAAAGCGCCATTTCGTTCTTATAAAAGCACGGATGACCGGGATTGGCCCATATGTTGTAGTCTTTTGGACGCTGAGTCGACTGGTTTTGGTCCGAAAAGGCTGCGATGCAGCGTTCCTCCTTTATTCCCAATCGAACGTGGTTGAACAAGTGGTCACGTGCTCCTGGGTGCACAAATCACCAGGTCACCACGCCAGCAGGCGACAACTTTCACACCATGGTTCAACTCGAGTGACAGGACTGCACCCAAAAAGGTCAAACAGGCTAGTAAGTTGTACCCTGCAGGCACGGTGACCAGGTGACTGGTGTACGCAGGAGCACGTGACCGCTTGTTCAACCATGTTCGATTGGGAATAAAGGAGGAACGCTACATCGCAGCCTTTTCGGACCAAAACCAGTCGACTCAGCGTCCAAAAGACTACAACATATGGGCCAATCGCAGTCATCCGTGCTTTTATAAGAACGAAATGGCGCTTTTAGTGACATTTTGCATACAAATCCCCATCTAGTAGGGCGCAGTCACCCAGTTTCGGTGGAAGTGCGCGAGTTCGATTGGGATTCAAGTAGGAAGGGAGCGTCTCAGCTTTCTCGGACCAAGACCATTCGACTCATCACCCCGAAGACTACAACTGGTGAAATTTTAATTTTTGCCTTAACTTCCCCTTTAAACCAGCCACTTCATATAGAGATGTCAGAGTGGTTACGTAATCGCCCTAAAATCGTGTCGCAGGGCTGACCATACCAGCTACAGTCACGCGTGGCACACGACCATGATCCTGCACCAGGCTGAAAAAATCGCGTGGGCGTCCAAGCAGCATACTTCCATGGACTCGTACAGCAGCCCAAGCTTGTTTTTGAAATGTTTGGAGAGGAAGAAGGCGAAGAGCAAAGAGAAAGCCCCTGTTCAGAGTTTGAACTAGCAATCTGCGTTGTGTTTTCGCGAAGCTGCCGTTGAGCCAAAGTAGGTTATTTTCGTTTGGCTTTTTCGGTCCCTGCGCATCGGTGCACGCCTTGGATTCGCTCACCATCGTCTTCCGCGTCCTTGAATTTAGTTTCTTGCAAAGTTTGGTCGCCGTGCTTGCTTGCGCACCATAGTTTTTTGATCTTTTTGTGCGCACCTATGTGAACAGGGTACATATGAGTGGTCTACGTGCGTGTTCAAGTAGTGGTTTCAGTTCTGATGAGAGGCCCAGAGGAACAACGTGATTTGTGCGTTGGATCATCTCTGGCTAAGCAGCTCGAGGTAAACCAAATCGACACGATATCGAATGGACTGGTCTTGGAACAGAGCAAGGTGAACGATGAAAATAACTGTACAAAACACGTCCCAATGTTCCTGGATTCTCACTGGCGTAGTTGTTCGATACTACATTAGTAGCTTTGCGATAGAGAAACAAAAATGCTTGATTCCGACAAGGTGTTGTCCTTTGCCGTCCATGGCGAGACGAACTAATTAATTTTGTTGCTTGGAGTACGGATTCGTCGTAATTTTTGCACTTTCCCTCAGCACTGCACTTTGTTCCCCATGGCAACCGCTCATGACGCACTGGGCAAGTTGACGGCTTTTGTGCCATCGATTCTTGCTGTTTGTATGCAGTGGTGCATCCCTCAGCACGACAATGGCGGGTGCCTGTCATCCTACTTCGAGGGCGTATAAATACCGCTTCCATAGCTTGGATTCACCTAAAATTTGACCAGTACGGAGCGTTTTGGATACTGATTCGATTGGTATATCACTCATTCCTCTGGTTTCAAGTTAGATTTTTCGTCTGATATCGCTACTTCATACGTTGGGAGAAGGTTAAAATCAGGTGGCGTACATAATCAACTGTGTATCCTTGGCACCGAATTAATATAATTCAGTGTGGATCAATACATTCAGCATTGATGTTATCAATTATTTACCCAAGCAGTGATAGAGATACATGAGGAAATGAAAGACGTACAGCACGCTAACCTCAGCAGGCTGGTAACAATCTCAGCTGTAGCACAGCACCATAACAATCTCAGCACAGGAGAATAACAGTCATACCTTTGGGCCGATGGTCGGTGTGCGACTTGTACGTTTCCGTCCAGTCCTCGTAAGTTGGCTCCGGAGGTGCCTGGTGCTCTTCGGCTGGTGGTTGCTCATGGTTCTCCTGGCCTTCCTCACCTTCATGGTGCTCTTCTGTTGCTTCCGTCGGTGCAGGGGGATCGTGCTGGACGAGGCTGCATACAAGTAATTCAGTACGTACACACAAAAGTCCACACATGAGGAACACAGTACGGGTCAACTTTAGAACGTTTTCTTACAAACAATTGAGTACGTATAAGGCAACATCCACATATGATGAGCACAGTACGGGTTACCTTCAGAAAGTTTTCTTTAAACAAAAGAAGAAACAGCATCTGCAGACGTGACCTGCTACACATGCTATGCCCCAAAACAAACTGCAGCCCCTATTAAAGAACAATGACAAAGTGCCCTACATATCACGCCACTTAACCAAAAGAAGCGTCCCCTCCCTGGGACTGGGCAGAAATAGACTGGTACAGCGAAACCTATCTAAGACGACCGCTCAAGGGACCTCCAAAATGTGGTCTCTGTTAACAGGTGGTCTCCTTATCCAGGGTCATTTGACTAGAAATGGTATCCCTTGGTTCTGGCTGCAGTGATCTTCTTGGACAGGTGGTCGCCTTATCCGAGTGGTCGCCATGCCAGGTTTAACTTTATGCACACCATCATACTACAAGCAGATCTGTAGGCAACTAAACCGCTTTCAGCACAGAGAATGTCAAACAAGCAAGGAACTTGCACGGAACAAATTGAACTATCATCACTTTCTGTGTTCACTCCATGCAATAAATCAAACCAAACACCGGCATCCTTACGCTGGCTTGCGATAGTGCTCAAAGTTCATGAGACCGCGGGAGTTGAGCGACGTGACAATCTCTTTGTCCATCAGGAAATCAACTCGGAACGGCTTGAAGACGATGACAGCCGAGGCACGGCCTTCCGAGCCAAAGTTAACACGCACGGAAGCATCGGTCTGCTCTTCCAGCTTCAAACTGAAGAGATAATGTCAAGAGAAAAAGGAAACACATACACATACACACACACACACATACACACACACAGTCCAGTACGGTATGTCGGGAAGAAGACAGCTTCCTACACCAAGTAAAATAAAGTATGACTGAGACAGTAGAGGAGACGGTTTCAAATAGGACATAGGTTGCAAACCGGAACGGTCTAAATATTCTCTTTCTCTTTTGGTATTTTGATTAGAAACGTATGTCACAGTGAGACTACGATGTGTTTTACTCAGTGCCAAAATTCCATGGCTCTGCGATGACCAGAAGCGCCATACCAAGCATTTGAGTTTTCGACGTGTTTCTTCCCACTGCGACTTGAGTTTTACGTCTTTTGAAAAATCAACTTCTTCTCGCAGGTAAACAGCGGCTCGCCTCTCGCCAATAAAGAACCGTATACCAATGAAAACTAATGGAAGTACATACAAGGCTTATTGGTGCTCTGTATTGGCTTTCGTGGAGCCATAGCAATTACCTAATTTCAGACCCAGAGTGAACTTGACGGGCACTCTAAAACGTGTCCGGTTTGGAGCCACCTCTGTAAACACCAAAAATTGAGGGCAACTTGGAGCCAAAGGGCCAACACAAAGGAGGGGCTCAGATTGATCGACTCTGGCCTCAGCGCAAACTTCAACATGCCAGCTTCCTTCCACAAACATATTTCGAGTGAGCAATCCATACTGATGATCGGATTGGGTCTACACAATTTTGCTGTCAACCCGTTCCGGTATCGAGCCGTCGCCTCTACAATCAAGAACAAATTTGAACATACTTCAGACACCAGGGCCCAGCGACTTGCATGAGTCGTGAGTGCATGCTACACTTGTGAACAGCATGTTGAGGTCCACTTTGCAGTTACACAGCAGAAAGCCGTACAAGTGCAATCTAGTTGTGACGCAGCCTTAGTACTTACGGAGCGGTCTTGGGCTCGCCGTCAAGGGAATCCTTTACGACATAGCGTGGGTGCAATGGCGCTTTCTCGTTGATCATCAAGCGAGCTGTGTTGTCGACCAACGTGATGACCTCGCCAACAAACGACGCTTCATCATTGAGCAGCTCAAACGTCACTCGGCCACTGCCAATGTTAATTGTTCCCGGCACGACATGGAACCTGGAGTCTTTGGGTTCAAGATCTCTATTTCTCCTGCGGTGCACAAATACAGATATGATATAGTAGTGTGTCAGTAATCCGACAACCTCGGACCGTAACCTCGGTTGGTTAAGTGAATATTCCGAATAACTGAAGCCAAGTTCTCACCAATCTATCCACACACCAACAAGATTATTATACATGGTCGAACATGTCCCCCCCCCCCCCCCCCCCCACCTACTATTTTGACCTGGCTAGAACCCTGATGACTGTATACCAAATATCTTATCGCGACACAGGCACAAAGTTCGAGAATTCGAGAGAGATCGATTGAGAGAGTGTGAGAGAGAGAGAGAGACACACACACACACACACACACACACCTTGAACCTTGAACTTGCCCATTGCCATGATAGCGAAAGGACTAATTCGGCGGCAACCGGCAGAAAGGTTCGTGGCGCTTGAGATTGTTCAATTTTTTTACAGACAACAGGTACGTACGCGGTTTACCGGTTCAATTTTTCTATATTTCGGCCAACGATGACCCTGATCTGTACATCTGGGAGTCGTACAAGCTCGGGTTTGTGTGACTCCACGTCACAGATCTACTCACACGATCAGTACTGTACATGTATGAACTGTTAAAAAAAAAAAAAAAAATGGCTTTGGCTCGATTTTGGTGCGGGAGGGCCCGGGAATCTCTAATTTTTTTTGGTCTCGCCTAAGGGTGTCTAATTTCATAATCTTACGTCGAGTTTACTTTACGGTACAGTATGCCAAACCCTTTTAAAGCCTGGGTATAAACCAGTGCATCCCGCTGGGGCCAGTTTTGGCTCCTAATAAAGAAATCCTGAAGAACTGTTGGAATGTAGCCTTTCAAATTATTATTGACAGCCACAGTGGCATTCTTGTCACTCTACCAAAGTTTACTACTTGCATAGAATTATAAAGAACAAGTTGCTTCACTTGAATCATTGCATAGGGAGTCTTTTCAAAATTTGAAGTTGCTACACGGTACAGCTTTTCCACATTCCTGGGGAGGGTTCTCCAAGGTAGATTATTATTGAGCACCGTAATGCCACCCACATGCTAGTACATGTAGTATTTGATCACTTCGAGATGTATGCGTCATTGGAATGACCTCGACCAAATCGCAGTGCAAATCGCAGTGCAGTATACAGGAGTGAAGCGCTACGATTAGCACGTCAATGCTAATGACCATGATTTCTTGCGATGAAAGGCCCAAGAGAATAAGAACGGAGAACTAGACCACTAAACAAAACCGAGTTGTACAACCATGAGAGAGCCTTCAGAAAATATTATAATTACTAACTTGCAAAACGAGCTTTCCGAGCATGTCTTGAAATTGTTCCTATCCACACCGATAACAGATGCAACAGCACAGGCGCTGATGATCAGGTGCAACGCGTGCATTCTGCCGTTGCACCAGCCGCAGAGCAACGTTCTGCTAATCAAAAGCAACTTTCTTTCCAAATCAAACTCTCAGATCAAGGACAATCAATGCAAACAACTCTACGTCGTCGATCGACTTGATCGCGATGGATCGATGGAACAAAAAAATAATGATCACGAAAATAAACAGTAAAAATCCACACAAATACGTTTCCATGGTGAGAGCGTTGGCGGTTTGACACTTTGCCGAATGCTTTGCGGCGCATGTTCGACCGAGAGGTTGCGGCAGTTTGTTTTGACCAGGCACCAGATTGGCTTTCTGATAATAATAATAATTATTATTATCAAGAGTTCTTGATACAGTATTATTATTATATCACATACCCAATGCTGTATTATATCACATAGATTTTTGCCATACCTAAGCAGTCAAATATTCCTGCATATTTCATTCCTTAGGGCTATATTGACTGCTTATATTTGACTGCTTAGGGGTTGCGCAGTTGAACGGTGCCTAAATGAGCTTTCCGAGCATGTCAGTACAGCATGTTAGTGCAGCATTGTCACCAGGGAGTAGTACAATACATATATATTGTACTACTCCCTGATTGTCACTGCATGAGTAGGCCGTGGTGCAACGGTTGTGCAATCATAAAACCGGGATCCATGAGGTTATCGTTCTGGAATTTGAAATACGGACTGTTTGTCGTGATAAATCTAATATTGACTTCGTACTTGGTCAGTATAGGAAATAAAAACCTCGTAAAAGACCTCGGCTTCGCCTCGGTCTTTTACTCGGCTTTTATTTCCTATTGACCTCGTACTCAGTCAATATTAGATACCGTTCTGGCATGCCGGCAATATATGTTGCCGCAGTGAGGCCATGAAGCGTTACATAATGTCATTGGCACTTGTCTGCCGCACGCAGGGCGTTACATGCAAAGTCGCACAGGAGCCGTTACACAGGTTTCTATCAGGGAGTCGTATAGACCCCTGGTTTATATTGCCGCAGTCCTTTTTTTGCTTCCTGCTGCGTCCAGTTTTGAACTTTTCACCACGCGGTGCGGTACACGTGCTTTCACAGTTTTCAGCCTTTTTTGCAATGAAAAGATCGCCGCACCCCGCCGGACGCGCGTTACGAACTCAACGAAAATTTGTCGCACAAGCCTGGTCGCGCGTTAAGGCCGATTCACAATACAACTTTCTGCGACGCGACACGCGATTTGCGACAGTTGCGACAAGAAACTGCCTGTCGCGAGCTGTCGCAAGCTGTCGCAAGCTGTCGCAATGCACCTGTCGCAGAAGTTGAAGAAAGTTCAACTTTTGCGACATGCGACACGCGACATACACAAATGGAGTACAGTTTCGACCCTGGGTGCACGTGCAGTGTACGTGAAGTGCACGTGCATAGTACTTCTTGTGCATGAGGATGTCGCAAACATGAAGAATATTGTGAACCGTGTGTCGCTGTCGCAGCTCGTCGCAACTGCGCCATCGCAGGCCATCGCAGAAGTTGAGCTTGGCTCAACTTTTGCGATGCGATGCGATGCGACAAGCGATTTGGCGTACGATTTTGACCTTTTCTACAGCAAAGTTGTACAAAGGTGCAAGAGTTGCCTATAAATTTGTACAAGTTGTATCAAACCGCGCGAATATCATGGTGACGTAGCCAAATCAGCAAGATGTTGTCGCATCACTGACTTCTTCTGTGAATGGTATTTCGCGAGTTCGCATCGCACGCGTCCGTCGCAGATCGCGTCGCATCGCGTGTCGCATCGCAAAAAAGCTTCTGTGAATCCCGCTTTACGCCGCACCCCCCTGCGTTAAGGCCGATTCACAATACAACTTTCTGCGACGCGACATGCGACTTGCGACACATGCGACGAGCTGCGACAGCGACACACGGTTCACAATATTCTTCATGTTTGCGACATCCTCATGCACAAGTAGTACTATGCACGTGCACTGCACGTACACTGCACGTGCACCCAGGGTCGAAACTGTACTCCATTTGTGTATGTCGCGTGTCGCATGTCGCAAAAGTTGAACTTTCTTCAACTTCTGCGACAGGTGCATTGCGACAGCTTGCGACAGCTTGCGACAGCTCGCGACAGGCAGTTTCTTGTCGCAACTGTCGCAAATCGCGTGTCGCGTCGCAGAAAGTTGTATTGTGAATCGGGCTTTAAGCGGGATTCACAGAAGCTTTTTTGCGATGCGACACGCGATGCGACGCGATCTGCGATGGATGCGTGCGATGCGAACTCGCGAAATACCATTCACAGAAGAAGTCAGCGATGCGACAAAGTTTTGCTGATTTGGGTACGTCACCATGATATTCGCGCGGTTTGACACAACTTGTAAAAATTTATAGGCAACTCTTGCACCTTTGTACAACTTTGCTGTAGAAAAGGTCAAAATCGTACACCAAATCGCTTGTCGCATCGCATCGCATCGCAAAAGTTGAGCCAAGCTCAACTTCTGCGATGGCCTGCGATGGCCCAGTTGCGGCAGTTGCGTGGGGTGCGACATGGCTGCGATTTGGGGTTTTCCCGGTTTCGCGTCTGTCGCATCGCGTGTCGCATCGCAAAAAAGCTTCTGTGAATCCCGCTTAACGCGTTACGCGGCAACATATATTGCCAGTACGGTACTTATTATTATTATTATTATAGACAACACCTCATGGCATGAGAAGAAAATCAGCCAGTACGGGAGATGTGGGTGTTAAAGGGGAAGTGCATCGATTTTTCAAGTAGGGCTCAGATGAAAGACAATAGACCCTTTGCACAATAACGGTCACGTGATCCGAGACGGGGCATCCTCTTCGATTTTTGTGCAGAGTATCAGTTGTTGAGCATGGTGAAACACTGTATTTTCCATTTTGGAGATGGAGGAGAGAGTGCCGAGTGGTTTGCCATCGATGGCTGTGGAACCCGTGGAGGAACTGTCAAATAAAGAATGGTCTGTGAAGGAACTGAACAGTTTTCTGCTGAATGAGGATGCGTATCTGTCTCGAAAAAGAAGGAGTTATTGGAGCGGTAAGTTTTCCGCAGTCAGTGGATATTTCGGATTACTGTAGATTGAAATTTATTTTTATTTTCTCTACCTTCTCTCCTCTGTCGATGTAGAGAACGCTTCTCGATGCAGAACCCTGATGCTCCTAGAACTAAGAGGGGCACCAGTCTTCCTCGAGTGTACCTTCATCATGCCCAACTTTGTCATGCGTCCGAGTGGATGAGTGATGAACTTCTCACGTTTCCCAGAGTGAGTGCCACACCATGCGTGCTCATCTCCAACGCAGGGGCAAGTCGCCGACGACAGTGAAGAGGGCTAGGGAGCTGATGGTGTAGTACTAGTGAAGAAGCCCGTGGATAGTGTCCATGAGTTTTACTTTGGTGGCTATGTGCATAATGTGAAAGTCTGTCATATCGTGCACACAGCCACAGCTCGAACTCAGATGACTTTCTCCGCACACCTGAGCGATGAGGCTGCGTCGCTCTGCACTTCAACATCAGCAGCTCGAGCAGCGCCAGCAAGCAGTCGATCTTCCTTGCAAAGACAGGGATGGGTCATGCCTTTTTCTCAGGCTCCAGAGTCTCTTGGCAGGGCGTTCAGCGTCTTCGCAAAAGCAAGGATGAAAGTCGTCATCGACAAAGTGTTCCGAGCACAACACTGTGAACGATGTCGCAGCAAACTGCGGCCCTCTTCTCGCCAGATAGCGAGGATTCAAGAGTGTGGAATGCCAGCATAGCCACGGAATGCATGGAAAGACAAGTGGGTTTCTTAGACTAGCCACTAGGGATGACGGTTGCTGCAAACAAGAACCCAACAGTGGTCCTTGGAAAGCATTTCGGAACTTCTTCCTTCAGAACTAAAAAAACTTCAAATGAAAAAGGCTGGGAAGTACATACATGAACATCGCGTCAGGACCCTGAAAACACAGCCTGTCACAGGAAACTTGATCACGTCCTGCAGCAAACCATGCATGCTGGTTGCATGCCAAGTGTGCAGCGCGTGCACAGCATGCCCCGTCTCGACCCCTCTCGCTTATTGTGCAAAGGGTCTATTGGATATCGGTTCCGATGGTATATCTCTCGCTTGCGTCCGGCAAGGGAAACTTGCCATATCGCCGATTTCCTGATCCCGTTTCCATGGCGACTACAGGTGATGACGCACATTCTGCTTAGCTCCGTGAGAGAGAAGGTCGATCAGTGAAGAATTGTGTCATTTTCAGTTGTCTTCTTGTATTCACGAAGTGAAAGAAGTACAGTCAGACCTCGCTTAATCGCACACATCCGTTTTCCCAAAAAATATCCGGATAGGCGAGGGAACCGGATAACCGAACACCGTTTATGTTGGATGCATCACGTATGCAACCAGCTTTTTTCTTCCGGATGGCGAGGGATCCGGATAAACGAGGACCGGATAAGCGAGGTCTGACTGTACTGTGTTCAAGGCTGTTAGTGCCGTGAACTGTTTATCAGTAGTCCTCTCCGTTGTGTACTGGGACGTGACACCGACAGAGGAAAGCTGGAGTGCGGAGACGTTAGCTGGCAAGCGAAAATCGTGACGAACCAAGTGCTGAAATCTTGGTTGGGACAAATCAAACGTTCAGCATTTACCTCAACCAAGGACCATGCCGTTTGCTCTTTCCACTTCCTGAAGGTGGATGCGCTGCCTGCTGGAGACTCTCCTATCTCTCGTAACATCTTCTGAAGCCAGGTGAGACGACGAGTAGCGGAGATTAGCGAACGAAATAATGTCGTATGTTTTGAAATTTTTGCTGAACATTTCTCAGGAGAGATGGCGAATACCAAGCATCTTCTCCAAGTCTAGAGAAACCATTTCGTAGGCTACATTCCGCCTAGGGAAATGCAGGAGATGGCCTGGCTGGGGAGGACACACTTGGAGGAGAACGAAGTAAGTGATCTTGTTTGTTGTTCTTTGGTATTGCAATCTTATGTTTGACGAACATACGGCATGGTGCATAGTTGGTCGTTGAGTGCCTGCATGTGCATGTATAAGTGTGTGCTGATAAACACTTCCTATGCAAGAATCTGACACTCATGCTCTCTTTATTTCTTGCCGAGTATGTGCGCACGTGTGTGTGTGTGTGTGTGAGAGAGAG